TTCCTAGTAATGCACGTCGTCATGCTATTGTACTTACTTACGAAATCTTAATTTTCTGTTTCTTCTTTTAATGAAATTCTCTGTCAATAATCAACATAAAATTAGATTCCTTTATTGAACAATTATGTCTCGTTTATATTTCAAAATAATTGGCATTTAATGTCATAGACGACTCGTAACGACTTGATGATGCGCTTTGTAAACGAAACCCTCATTTACATTGCAAGTTCAAATCGTGACTTGAAATTGAAATCTTCATTATTGATTAAAAACAATTTTTTTAAAGGTTAAATTGATTTACGCCTACAAGAAAATTATTTTTTTTTCCTCTGTGTATGCTTGAAGCACGGATGTTCTGCGACATTGAATGGGTCACGAAAATTTATTAGCGAAAAAATCATCATCGGATGTATATCGTGTCGTGGATTGATGGAAAATGTAATTGAACTTCATAATAATTTTAAATACTGTGTCAAGTCCATTGTACTTGATATTGTCGCAAGCTCCGGAAAATTGTGAATTCTTAGCGATGAAATAATGATAGTAATAAAATATGTCTCACGCTCGCATGCTTTTAATCTTGTATTTTAATTTATACTTCACTTACTGAATATTGTCGCTTCTCTTTTATTTTCGTGGTGATATTTTAAGGCATTGAAGCTTATTTTTTTTTGTTTTTTTTTTTTGGCTAGAGTCATTGCGAGCCATGCGTGACAATTTTGTGATTTTTTTAATGAAAAGGTTAGGACGTAGCAAGGTGGACAAGATGAGTTTAATTTATTTTTACTTGTTCAATGTTATATTAGGGTAGTTTCCAGGCCTACACTCCATCCGTTCTCTATAAGATAACATTAAATGTGGATGTCCTGTTAGTTCTGCAGACGCTCATCACGTCTTTAACACTGATCCATTGCTACAAAACAGTCACTAAACCTTAATCCATTTGCCTAACTGTATAATCCATATTAAACTCTAATTTACCCAAAGGATCAACGACTCTATTCCACTTTACAAATAACGAAAAATAATTTAACTAATTTATTAAACCGAGGAGTGTTTTGACTATTTTCAGTGCTTATAATAAATACAGCAGTCATGTATATACTTCTTTGGTTTCATATCAGGGAGTAGCTCAGCTTTCAAGCATAAACATTATATTTTATTGTCTCCGAATCAGCACTTAACGTAATTTTACACGGTGACATTAAATTTTATAGAATATTAAGCTTTTTAAATCATTTAATTAAGTTAAAAGTAAATGGAAGTTTACGGTTTGATCGTATTATTAATTACGAATAAATGTTTATGCTTCAAAATTATGTTGTGTTACATAAAAATCACACCATAAATCATGAGTTCATGCTATCATTCAATATTTTGACGTCGACCTAAATTATAAACTTTTTTCTCTCTTTCCGAATCGTAATTCGATGTAAGTACAAGCAAATTTTATGTCGATACTCGACGTTTTTAATTATGACAATAGCAATAACTTCAAAGTTATGAAAATCTATATTTTATGACTCAATTCATCATTTGAACGATGAACGATCGATTTATGCAAGGTTTTTTCTTTATGCTGCTTGCTTTTATACCTTTTTACGAGTTAGAAGATGGAAATGAATAAGAACTAGGGGTTAGTGAAGCTGGAATGCATCCTTTTTGATCATTTGTCAAAAGTTCGTTGAGAAAAAATTTGAAAATTCTTGTTCAAAAATTGTATAAATTTGAACTTACAAAACCGTAAATTTTTGAAATTTTGAAAACCGTTTAAAAAGCTTTTTGTTGGAAATATAACATTTCCGTAGTTTGATCTCAAGCTGAGACTCGGAGCAATAGAAGAGTAACTGGAACCCCTACCCAAAATAATAAACACGAACGACTATTAAACCAAGAAATAAGTCATGAAAAATTGAAAAGAGATTCGAACAAATTTTATGCTAATCATCAAACTGAGATGGAAAAATTCCAATTATAATTTAAATACAAAAAAAATTATCCTTCTCTTGTCATCAATTGAAACGTCACAATAAATTATAAGTCTATGCATTAAGTATATTTTTTCCATCGCTAATGTCTATTTCACTATTAGTAGAACATGAGAGGTAGAATGAGAAACATCTGTAGATTCATTTCTTTCCCATAAATGACATTGAATTCATAAAGAATTTGAATAATGTTTCAATAATCGCTTCGGTTTTTATGGCAGATTGATCGCAATTTTATTTTTAATGTTATTGCACGATTTTTAATTAGCAATTCATTGAAATTTGAGGTGTGTGTCACTTTAATGCACATGATGCTTATGGCAAAATGCTGAATTGATTTATTATTGAATGAGCTTCAATTTGCATTTGTTTCCATTTTGGAAAATTTAAGAATTTTTTTTTTTTTGTGGGCTGTAATGGGAAATTTATTTTGATGAGCACTAAGCACTAGCTTTAAGACTCCTTGGAATGCTTGGAAATATGGAATGTTATAGAGCTGCTTGTTGGAGATTTTTTTAAAGTCTGAGGTCATTGTAATATTTCTTAATTAATGGCCAAAAACTCTTCCTTTACGATTGCTGATTTTGACGACCTCTCCTTGGAAGAATCATGCAAATTTGCATCCTATTGTCTGATAAGCTTTGGTGCTGTTCAATCAAATTCATTTATTAGACTTCGTTTGAAAATGACGACCACAAATTCAATTTTTCGACTTTAGCTGGCGGTTCTAAGCTTAAATTCCTTAAAGCTATCTTATAGCCTCAGTGAACTTTCTGACGGTTGGATAGAATCCAATTTTTCTTACGACATCATAAGTGAATGACTCCTCAAGCGAAACTAATAATTCAATCATATGCTTTAAATTTTGGAACCTGTTGATTTCTTTCTAGCTCAACAATTTGATGAATAAAAAAGTTAGTAAAAGTGTTTGAAGCGAGGTTACTCTTTCAAGTTCAGTAAGTTTTTTTACTTATAATTTATCATTATCAAGGGGTCGTTTAGTCTCACGCTAGGTAACTTTTTATCTCTGGTATTAGCCAGAGCTTGTAATCGACTCATATTTTGTATAGAAAAGGAATTGTAAAATTAAGGTTGACTCAATTTTGAGCTCTTATTTACATTTGATGAAGATTTTATAAAAGTCAATTATAATTTATAGAATGAGAATAATCAAGGCACAGATCTCTTCCCTCCCTGGACGTCATAAGTAAACAACAAGCAAATAATTTTTGCCAAATAATTTGAAATTTAAATTTATTCAAAAAAATACCAAAATTAATCATCAACCACGTCTCATTCTTCTTCAAAAAATAAAAAAAGTTCACAAATGAGAAGTCATAATGCACAAAATTATCTTCAGCCATTTCTCTCATAATATTATTTTTAATTTTATTCAAAAAAAAATTTTTTTTACCGTCTGTCTTGACTCCGAACTGTGATGTCCGTTTATATAACGTCATATCTCTTTTACATTTTTTTCCATTCATTCACAATGAGCAGGCAATTGGTGTCATATAGCGTAACATCTTTACAAAATCCATTTGTCCATTCACACATTCATTTATGCCTGATTATTGTTAGTCGAAACATTTTCTTATTTTTTTTTTTTGTTATTGTCGTTAGTATAATTATTGGAATCGGACTCTCTTTACACTCTCTGTGGTATGTACAATGCAATAATTCCTTGGCAATGTTCAAGAGTTTCAAGTCCAAGGAATAAGTGAATTTTATTATTCTCGTATATTTCATTTTTTTTAATAACTATTATTAAGTACGAAGTAATTCAATATAAATGAGAATAATGAAAATGTTTTGACGGCTTTACGTCAAAATGGGACATTAAACTTCTTTGTTACGTTTTATTCAATTAATTGTGACAAAAGTATGTGATTAATTTTTGAGAATTTGTTGTTCATAAGATAGGAAAAGGGCTGCATTTTTTGAAGTAAGGCTTAACATCAATATTTTGGAGATATATTGACAAAAAAAAATTATTTATGGAAATATTTTATGTCTCGTTAATTTTTTGGAAATGAATTTATGTAATCCAAGGAATGGTAACTTTTTGGTAATTGCTGTAGTGATTTAATTGATTGAACATCATCTTGATAATTTTTGTGAAGTTTACAATTTTTTGAGCTGAGGAGGAGTTATTTCTTGTGTAGACAGATTTGACAATTTTTTGATAAATAACCTCCTTCTCCAAAGTACAACATTCTTCAAAAATTTCACACATTTGACTTTCACTTAAAGTTCTAATATTTTTTTCTTGAATTTTAAGATTCACAATTTTTGTAATGAAGAAAAAACCCGATTAAAAATTGAAGATCATTAAAATCTGTTAAAATTCAATAACAACAAAAAGTTCACCATCCCTTGGATTAAACTGTGAGACTTTTGATGAGACACAAAATCGGAAATGAATTTTATTCATTTTTTTTCTTTCTCTTAACCATTTTCACGATGATGTAATTTCAATTTGTACATCGAATCGTGAGATCTATTAGATCATTGAGCCAGGTCTCATTTGTATATTAAGCCTCTTAAATTTTTCACATAAAACAATTGATATTATTTGACTTTTTAAACGCACAATTAATTGAAATTTACTTAGCACTTTTATCATCAATATATCACGATTTGCGGATCCATTAACACCAGCTTATTGGCATAATAAAATATATTTTCGCACAATAAGCTTGATGGAAAATTAGCACACATTTATGAGGTCTTATAATCTCGTAATCCTTCCGTGTTCTATTATTGGACTTAATCCATTTTCATTCTGACATTCACACAATTTCATGACATTTTTGAGTCACATTTTTAATTATACAATATTATTTGTTTCTCTTTCTCTTGTTGCCTTAATTTGCTATTACTTAAAAATTCATCAAATAAATGATCATACTGAACCTTTCACTTTCTTTCTCACGACAACGACGACGACCAAGATTTAAGATACATTTTTTTTTTGTTTTGTAAACAATTTTAAATTCTGCGTAAACTTACAACTTTCGCCATGTGGTAATCCACAGATTCCAGCGATAATTAAAAATGACACTGCAGTTAAAAGAATTTTTTTCATTTTTTAAAATTCTTTTTTTTAATTTTTTTCTGATTAATTTTTTTATTGCAAGCTTCTTGTTATTATTTTTTTAATGCTGAACTGCTTATTCATTCATTTTTTTTTTGCAAACTATTAACTTTGTGAACTTCACAATGCTCCGAAAAGTCAACCGAAACGCGCGACTGAAGAAACGTGAATGAGATGTGAAATAAAAATAAATTTATGCTGTATTTTGTGTTATTTTTGTTCCTCAAAACTTTTAAAGCTGTGCGTCGTGACTCTCAATTTTATTCTCATTTGCTATAAATGAGAGTCACTGCTCACAGCTGGTTGGTTGAAATGAAAAATTGAGTAAACGATGCATGTGGTTCGATGAACTGTTGACTCAGTTATGATAACAAGAGCTTTAAATGGATAGGTCATCTAACAAGCAGCAATAATCATAAATTAAAAGCTTAAAGATGATAAGAGATGATTCAATATGGACTAATAAAATCATCGATAAAATAGTTTTTTGTATCATCCGTCGCTAATGTTATTTTGTTGCAAATTAAGGTGCAAATGGATAGTCACATTATAGTTATGTAATTTCACATCTGTCTCATGCCGATACATAAAAGAGTTTTGAGGCATTTTTCTCACATTTAACATGTGTTATTAACTTGCTTTTGACCTAGTAGTTTGTTTGTTCGCTGGATTCATAAAAGATTAATAGATTTGTAGGGAAAAATATTAAAAACTTAATGGGTTCTCATGAAAAATCGTAAAACTTGATTAGACTTAACTAAGACTTAATAGAACTCAAAGAAATCAATATTGCATCCCCAACTACGAAGCTTGATCAAATCTCAACCTACTTGATAGGAACAGTTCAAAATTTGTCTGCTAAGGGGCCGTTCACTTATAACGTTCGAAGGGGGGGGGGGGGGGGGGTCAGCAAGAAAAGAACAATAGAAATTTCTAGAAATCCATTGTTCTTTTATGAAAAATGACCGTTAACTTCGGACGTCATAAGTGAACGATCTATCGAAGTATCAAATATAAGTTGATAAAAAGCTATTGTAACTTAATTTCCATATCACTAATGCGCTCTAATCTCCCACCTCAAATGGCATGTCCAACAAAACTCCGATACAATAAAAACAAAAACGAATTTCTTAATCACTTTATGATGAGCTTTTAATTTCAATTTTATTGATTACAATCTCAATATTTCTGTTCCTATTTGTGTAAAACAATTATTAAATGGAATATAAAAAGCAGCTATAACAAAAAAGAGCAATGATGAATATAAAAGGAGTTGGTTCATGGGAAATTGACTGCCAAGGTAATGCGATAGAAGCATACAAAATTTCAATCTTTACCTCAAAAAAAAAAATCATTTCAATTAAAAGCATTGAAAACATAAACAATTGTTGTTATTATGACTGATCGGTGAACCTACTGCTGCTATCATTTACAAGCGTGAGAAATCTCTTGTGACTCTCAATTATTTGCAAATACTCAACTTAAGCATAAATATTATTTTACTGCCTCCGATTGAATTTACTTTTTTGAGTTTCTCATGAATTCCGCACTTCTGCACATGTTCATTTTGCATAAATTGATTTGTTGAGCGAGTCAGGCAGTAAAAGCAGTTTTAAATGTTATGAAAGGAGATAAAATCCAAAAATTAGCTTTATTTGCTTTCATAATTAATAGAAAATCAAGAAAATCATAAAGCTTAAACACATAAAAGCTCTTGCTATTAACTTTAAATTAACCAAATGAGGAACTCAATATTATGCATATGAAGACAGAGTCATGAATATTTCTACTTGATGCTGGTTACGAAGGAATCTTTAATTAAGTAGACAGTTCAGATCATCAAGTTTGAAATTATTCGTGACTATACACATTGTTGAATTTTCGAGTGCTTCCTAAATTCCATGGAACTTCTTTTTCTGCTGAATATTGTTTACAGTTCATCGGACGGAATTTCAAACAAATATTGGAGCAAATTTATTCACTTTTAGAGGTTTATTATCAAACATGACCATATTTATTGACTATTATCTCAAATGGATATAGCTATAAAGTAAAAGGAGCTTAAAATGATATTTTTTGCACAAAAGCAATTCCGGATTGCTGACAAATAACTTAAATTCAAGTTATAATAGAAAAAAAAATATAATCAGGTTTTCGTCAAATTTCGAAGTCCAAAAGCAGCAAGTTGATAATTAGTAGAAAAGTTTATATAACTTGCTTGCTTTTAGATTTAGTTTGCTTAATTTACGGCTTCTGAAATCAATGGAATCTACAGAAGTTTTCAAAATTGCAATCGAATCCTTCCTTGTTTGCAGCAATAAGCATAAACATCCATTCTCACACTCATTTACTTTATCTTTAATATTACAAGTCCCAAAAAATTTAAATAAACATTTAAAATGAAATTTTCTTCAAAAATTATCCGAATGTAAATTTTTATCTGATTTTTAAGCAAACAAGAGAAATGGAAGCTTTTAACAGAGCATCAACTTACCTTTAAAACCTTTAATGAAGTAAATCCATCGTCTTTTTGGAGATTTTGTAAGATTTTACATACATTCATTGAGTTAATCCGCAACCCAAATAAAAATAAAACATTCCATCAAAAGTTATGTCTTTCGTAATGACAGTCATTTAAGTATCTTGTATCATCAGTACACAAAATCACTGAGTTATCAATAAAGCCATCGGGTAAAAAATAAGGAAAGTATCAGTGTCTGATTATGAGGATTTTAATTTTCAATTTACTGGAAGATTAATTACATTTATGGAAGTGTAAATTTTAACTCTTAAGGGAACCGTAAAACGCAATCAATTTCTTCTTGTATTAAATGTCCATTGATCTTTTAAATAAAGTCATTGTTGGAGAAACCACGAGCCATTAATTTTCTGAAAGCTGAGTCGTGCTTAAATTTCGACAAACAAATGTTGTAAAAGTTTTTGTTGACAAACTTTTTGCCGCTGTTCGCAACATCTTTATTGAGTGTTGTCGGCTCCTTTCCTTCTCAAAAAGTTCAAATTTCCACAAAAATTTATGATGATTAATCAGCGTTAATTCACTTTTATGGGACCATGTTGTTGAATATTCGATGTTTTATTGGAATCTCTGGTTTTAAAGGAGAGGGAACCAAGTAATCTGTTGCGACACTAGATCTTAAACTTTCCAAATCATTAAGTTTCATCAACGAACTTTTATTCTGGATTTTTTGAAGAAAATCAATCTATAGAAGTAAAAATTACAGTTCCGGCAGCTGTTGGTCCCCTTCAATCATATTAAATCTTATTAAAACTTAATTAAATAAAAAAATTTGGGGCAGATGGGAGCCGAAAGATAAAGTTTGATGAAACTTCAAAATGCACTTCCAGCAGTCTATAAATTTATGATGAATAATAAAGATAATTGTAAGTTATTGATGATTAAATCACTTAAAATGTTTACATACTACTTACATTATCATCATCATTATAACCTGTACCAAATCAGATGTGTTCGCTCTCTCATTTATAATGTGTATGCCTTTATAAAATTATTTATTTCTCAATTTTTTTAAATCGTTAGTTGATTGAGAGAATCACTGAGTAGAAGAAGAAAATTAAATGCAGCATAAGAAACATTACATCAAACATGCGATAAAAATAATGATCATTGAATCAGATTCGCTTCTCTATTCGAACTTATCGGATGTTTTCAACGCCGCGAAATAATCAAGATCTATTTGAGTAGCAACAATAGTGAGCTAATAGATATAAGGTTTATTTCTATTCATTAAAAAAGGTGAAACATTACATAAGATGACAATATTCGGACAAAAGTTTATATCAATTCTGTGCTTAGTGAACCTCTCAAATGGGATACCAGCACAATACAACAATGATAATTCGCGTGAGTTGCACAATTCAATTTTAATTGATTTGCATAAATTTTTTAACAGTCATTTGACTTACTTTTTTTAATACGGCGATAACTTTCAACTTTTAACAGTTTATACACAGTTTATTAGCGCTATGAACTTTGATTTTGACGCTGCGTTTTATTGATTTTTTCGATTTTCTTATATAAAGAAATTTTTTGGAAGTCAATAAAACGTGAGCGAGAAATTTTTGGAATCTAAGTGTTAACAACGAAAAAATGTCATTTAGGAAATATTTCTGAGACACAGCTTCATAAGATATTTAATTTTATTAGTTTTGTTTTCATTTTTGACAAGATTGCATGCTGCTTTCGCAGATTTTTGGTTTTTTCCCATTTCTCTAATGCATATGTATAATGCATGGAAGATTCTCATGGAATACGTTGATCTGCCTTTTGGTTACTTGAAAAAGCTACCACGATTACCTTTTTTAATTCAAAATCCAACAAAGAAAATAAACCACAATGAGGGTAGCATTGTCAGCACCAAATAAAAAGCACCGCATCTAAATTCTTCAAATTGTTATCTAATTTCATCAGCTTCAATCAAAATCATGCGAAACTCTTGAGTCCAATGCAAAAAATCGATTATAAATAGCCAACAAGTTTACACTTCCTGCATTGAATGCATATTTAAAGACTTGAATGATTTTTAAATGATCCAAAATGTCGCCAAAGACATTAATCAACATTATTAGGAGAAATATTGCTAATCTTAAATTCACTTTCACCTAAATATTGTATAAACAGTAAATAGATAGCCATTTATGCGATAGATGAAGAAACAAGATCGCTCATAAAATGGACAGAGAAAAAATTATTGTCGCGACAATTTAATAATATTCCATATCAGACATGAACATTGATGAATTACGATTAAGTAAAACTGATTTCCTATTATTATTATTAGACTAAACTTCACGTCTATACATTTATAGCTATAAATGGTATTATCGAGTCGTCATTTATTGACAAGTGTCCATATAATGTTATTCAATTACAGAGCCTTCAACGGACGAGTCGAGGCATTTTCCGAGATTTGACGATTCGGGTTTCATTCCAATTATCCCACCTCCACATAATCCTCATCCTATATTATCCCTGCATAGTGATCCTCATTTGAATCCAATTTTGGAACAGGAAAGGATTTACTCTTCACATTACCGTAATGGATATTTATCAACATCAAGACCGTTCTCATTGAGACACATTAGCAGCACAGCAACTATTAATAGACTCACGCCAAGCACTCGTGCACCGACATCCACATCATCGTCTTATGATCAAACTAAATCTATCCTCGGTTCAGGTGATTTTACTGTCTTGAGAGGCGGTACGTTTTACCCGGAAGGTGAAGAAAAGAAAAATGATTTTTATGGCAGTGGATCAGCATTTTTTGACTCTAATAATGGTCGTCCATTTGCGCTTCCATTAGAGCAGTTACATTATTCAGATGATCCATTTGCTAGTTTTAAGGATTTCGCTGACATAACAGCCGGAGTTGATTCGGATTTTACAAATATTGTTGTGATTTATGCAAATAAAAACTCAACAAAACACGAACCACGAAATATTCTCGAGCAGCTTCAGTTGCTTGATCAACAGAAAGAATCTGAATCTGAGAATCATGAAACGGAAGTCTCAACAACGAGCGTGCCAATTAAAAACATGAAATTAAGTAAATTCAAAACAAAATTGCTCAGCACGAAGCCTCAAAAGGTATACTTTAAAAAAGTGCAAGTTCCAAATAAGCTGAAACAAAGCAAAGAGACAAAGTCGTCATCATCATCCATTGATTATGTTGATCCATTAGTAGCAGATAGTTAAGCAAAAATATAATTTTAAATATAAGTATTGAATAGATTTACTTTTAATTATATTGTGTACGCAGTTTGTGCGTGCTTATTACCATTCAATATTATTACTATTGATCTTATTTTAAGCACTGATCTGAAGGTAAATAAATGTCAAAATTGTGTGTGCTTTACTTGTTGTAAACCTTATAAAAAACTTTAGTGTTTCCTTGGTGTTTATCGAATTAATTCAGTTTGTGATCTTGTTTGGACACCCGAGCTGTAGAGCATTTGAAGCTGTTTAAATCAATGAGGATCCGTAGCTGTACAAAGGATTACTTGATCATAAATTCTTGCCTCTTATGAGAAAATTTCAATAGATCTGTAAAGTCTCAAACCCAAGAAATCAGAGTCAGTTTTGCTTATTTAAAGTATTCAAGGACCAGATCATGTTCCTAACCAGCAGAACATCATTTTGGCTATGTTTTAAAACTCTTATCTTTACGATAATAATAAGAAGCATTCAAAGTTTGATTCTTCGCCCTTAAAACAACAAATAACTCAATCATATGTCACTCGGACTGCTCATTGCTCTTGCTACTATTTCCAAATTCCACGCATAATAAAATCAGATAAAAATGAAAATATGCGTATTGCAAATATTTACCATAAACGCAATTAATTTAATTCCTTTCTTCTCACAGGGAGCGGTAATTTGAGCAGTTAATTGAATTAATTTTCAGATGTAGGCATTGGAAAAAAAATATGATTAACACACAGGTCTATTATTTATGCAAACGCTCTTTCCAATAAAACTATAAATAGTGTCTACATGATTCATGCATAACGATGCGCATGGCTTGAAGAATTCCATAAGAGATGTGTTGTAGAAAATTTATTCAAGATCAAGTTTAAATTGCTCTACATTTTAAGCTATGAGAGAAAAAAAAAAGATTTTTTTAATGTTGTGCATGTCTTGCTAGCTTGATGCCTCATTAGATTTTAAAAAGTCATAATGTATGCTGAAGTTTCAAGTTTATATGCGCACATGACATGCTCATTCACATACGTATATAATGAGGTACAAGTGACAAATTTCAAAATAATTTAATTGAATATGAGCATTCACATTACTTGCAATTCATGTGAGGTATTTTCAATCTCTTTCCCATGTCTTATGTTGTGCTCTTTCGATGTTATGCTTATAATAGGATCTTCAATTCTTTTTTTTCGACCTCTATTAAACCTTTAGTATGGCAAAAAAAATATAATAAGTGAATATTAAATTTAATAATGGATCTCTTTTTTTCGCAGACATTTCAAAGTCAAGTTCAGATCATCAATCATCAAATCTAATTTAATTTATTGTAAGATTCTGAGATACAAATGAGTTCATCTTAGGCTGTTTCTACTTCTCTTTCGATTGTATTTTCGGGAGATATTTAATTGATGGATTTAAGGGTTGGGACTATTCTTGTGTCATTCTTAAGTTGTTTTTTGTATTGATGAAACCTGGCAAATCATTAGCAATTAAAGGAATCATTCATAAATGATGTTCAAAACTACTTCATTCAACTTGAGTTTCTTATCCTCAATATTCAAAAGACTTTAATTCCCTCACATCAGGGGCGTAGCCAGGGGGGGCCATAGGGGGCCCGGGCCCCCCCTACGAAAATCTGATAATTGTTTTATTAAGTATTTATAGAGAAGAACCAGTTAATGTAGAGGAAGTGATGAAAGAAATGTCAAAATCAGATCGAAAAATTAAATTTAATGTATGAATAATGAATTAAATATTTAAACGTATGAAGAATGAATATAGATTTAAGGATACAAAATAACAATTTTTTTAATTTTCGAAAATGGGCCCCCCCTTAAAACTTTTCTGGCTACGCCCCTGCCTCACATCGATTATTTACAAGCCATTGTGTAAAAATTATAAATTTCAATTTACGTAGTTCATTAGGTTGAGCGCACAATCTCTCACGATGATGTGCCATAATACTCGCATAAATCTCAAAGCTTATGCAATTTTTGTTTTGTCTCTCTAATGTGTCGCATTGTTTTTGAACTTTTATGTTAATTATGTCATTTTGCAATTGCATTTGTGTGAGAGTTAGACCTGTGCTATATATAGTTCGCAATAACTTCATAATGGGTGGAAATGTCAAAGCGTATAAATGAGCAAATCATGCGCACCTAGAATTTGAAGAGATACACGTTAAAAAAACAATGGAATGTTTTTAATCTCCATCTCTCTCCCACCTCATCAGTCTAATGAAAATAATCTTTTAATTTACAATTAATCTGTTAAAAATCGTGCGAAATGTTTGTCACACGTCATGGTTAAGCCTAATTTTTACTTTTCTTTCACAATCCAACATGTATTGATTATGTGAAGCTCTATTCTCTCGATTAATGACAGCACAGCAGTAACTCATCGCTCTTATTTATCATCATCATCACGTTTTGTTTTGCTTTGCTGAATGCACCCCACAATATTGAATGTATATAAAAAATAACACGAGAGGAGATGCTTATGTAATTTTAGCTATAATCACGACTTCTAATATTATGTCATTTGGAATATTTCATGGTGGCTTATTGTTTCAATCACTCTATAGCTTGCCTGCCTTTTTTTGTTGTTTTAGCTTATGCTTGCTTCGATTAATGTATTTATGCATATAATATGACTTTAAAAAATAAATTTTCATAATGCTCAATTTAAAAGATGATGATGATGGGTGATGATTGGTTTCATACGAAATCGTGTGACAGAAACTATATCTGTGTGACATTTAACTAGATGAAAAACCAAAGCCGATTATATTTTTTCAATCAATTATACTAATTGCAAGACGACAATTACCATGGGCTATTAACAAGATAAATTTAATTTTCAAACAAAAGAATTATGTTGTAAATGCATAATACTTACCTTTTAAAATTGCTCCGTACACCTACATCAAATGTTTGCGATATGTAGACGTTGGAACGTGAGAAATTGTTTGGTGTATTAGCATGAATATGGTTATCTTAAGAGATATAAGAGTTTCTTGACTTAATGGTTGTTGGAGTCAATCATAGTTGGGTAGACTGAATTAACGTTTAAGTATGCACAGTGTCACTTTGAAAATTGATCCATATAAACTTCATATAAACAAAATTTGATAGTGATTAGACTAGAATGCTCCGACCACTTTTTCATCGAACCAGTTCCTTTTATTGCCAATTGCTTGTTATTTGAATACAAATTCTTTAATATGCTTCAATGCGGTTTTATAAATTTGCTTTAAAGCCAATAAAAATTAAAAATTCTTAAGCAAAAATATTCAAAACCGCAACTACAAAAAGGCAAAAAATCATTGATTTAACACAAAGATTCCTCTGAGAATTAGTATTGCAACTTAATATTCCTAGAGTTTGTCGACATTTACCATTAAGTATGCCTTCAAGTAATGTTTGTCAGGTTATGTTTTTGACTTTATCTTGTGTCATGCGTGTGGACAGCTCTCGGAAATGACTTTAACAAGTTTAGATAACTATATTTGGCAAAATTAAGGTTCATGCAACTCCTCTAAGATCATCTAATTCTTATACCCAAAATAATTCTTTTTCAGAGTTTTCGCACCGCCTTAAAATTCTTGTTTGTTCAAAGAATATTTACTAAGATCAAAGGAACTAATTTTGTTGTGAGACAGGTGTCTATTAAAAGACTTAATAAGCTGGTGAGCTGAGATGTGAGCTTGAGTAAAGAATGTTTGCTTATAATTCATGCTCTGAAATAACTCAATGTAGGTATTTTGGATACATCTACTTGTAATAATAAAGATACAATCGCTAGAGAATTCTTAAGAAACCACATTAAATTACCTTTGGCACAAAACATATAAATCTTCTCCTTTTGAAACTTTATAACTCTATTCTTTGAATTAATAAACTTACAAATAATATGAAAAATTAAAACATCACGAAGAGCCAAGAGCAGTTGAGAAACAAATCAATATTAATAATTATCAGGTCATAAATAATTTAAAGTAACACGGAAGATTTTTTACAAGCTTCATTAATCAGCATTCGTAGTAAATTAGCTAAAAGAAATATTGACCAAAAGCTTAAATAAATTTAAAGTTGTACAAGCAAATTTCGGTGAACTACAAACAAGCTAGTTGTGAAATCTATGTTAATTTTCACTGAATTTTGATTAAAATTAATTGCCAATAATTGTTTTCACATTTCAGACACCGTTACTGTCATGTTTACTACTGTCCTCAATAATATCCAAATATCGTACATTTTTTCAAACATTAAAGGCCACTTTAACGATGCACAAAATTAGCATTTGTCTGCTCATTCACATTTCATCGCCTCTTTTCTATTGATTTTGGTCAGTGTTGGATTACTACCCTGTTTTTTCGTTATAAGCTAATAGCTTAAAAGAATAAAAAAGTGATTTTTTTGGCTCACTAGTATCTTAGTAACGAGTAGTAGCTTAGTAAAGAAATTGAACTTTAATGAAAATTTTGAATTTTTTAACTTAATTAAAGAAATTTTGCTATCTTCTCGATTTTATTTCATTGACAATGTCATAAGGAATTGAAACTGATACTTAGGAAGTTGAAAAAGATTAATTAAACTTTATTTTTGGTAGTAGCCAGGGGGGGGGGGGGACAGAGCAAAAATTGCTATGAAAAAAAACCCAAAAATGTTTACTCTGATGAAATTTCCAAGTACTCCACAAACGAAATTGAAAAAGTCAAATTTAAAGGAACTGAAGCATCAAAGTAAAAATTTTTGGATGTCAAAAGGTCTTAAATCATGGTTCTCATCAGTTCCAATCAAAATTTCGGTCCTAAACTGCATCGGAAGGAAGTATTGCGAAAATTTCATTTTTGCTCTGCCCCCCCCCCTGGTAGTAGCTTAGTAAAGATTACAAAAAATTTTCAAGTTCAAAATAACTTTACTAAGCTAGTAGCTTAGTAACGAGTAGTAGCTTATAACAAAAAAACAGGGTAGGTGATTTTTTGAGATAATACCAAATTTTGTGGTGGTAGTTTCATATCCCTTAAAAAACTCACATGTAGTTTTACACCCTTTGAATCCAAAATGACATGTTTTCGCAATTTCTATAAATTTAGCAATCAAAATTTGAATAATAATAAATAACTTAAGGTTTAAAATGATAAGAAACTCAGAATTCACACATAACCCAACCCTACCTTTCATCACCTTAGCATTATTAACCTTATTACGAGTGTGACAGATCGGTTTTTTTTATACATCTCTGAAAAATTACCTTAATATGCTAATTTATGAAAATTAATAACCAATTGAGTTTATGCGTCGTATAACTAATGCAACAAATCAATCATCACATTTTGTGAGCAAAAAACAACATGAAAGTAAGCATTACTTGATGAAAAATGTACTTTTTTGTTTTAGAGGTCAGTCGAGTTTGCATATTTAAGCATGTATAATGTTATTACTGAAATCATTTGCGTTAATTATTCGCACTTAAAATGTGATTTTTGTTTTGTGTTTTCGCATGTCAGTTATGGCTTAAGATTAAATATAAAATAAGTCATCGATAATTCAAGATGACAGAAATTTTCTTCGGCTACTGAAACTCGTTTTTTTATTATTTATTATTTAGTAATATATCTTATGTATTAAGCTCATCACATAATAGGTAAAAGTTAAACGGTGTAATAGCTACTTGGAGTGAAGAAAAGTATTGAATAATTTTGAAGACGTGCATGACTGTTATGACTGAATATTTCTTGTAGATTTGATGCAAAATTATGCAAATATGTCATTGGCATTCAAAAATGCATCTGCTGCAGTATAAATACAATTTCAGCTGCAGCTGGATGGTTTTCTAGAGAAATCTAAAGGAAATCTGCTATTCAATTAAATATTAATCAAAATGTAGTTTGAGGTAGGTCAATAACTTGAATGCTTAACTAGGCTTTTAAAATTTTTATTTGTTTTGGGCTGGATATGTCCAATTAAATTGAATATGACCCATTTCTTGACAATCTTAAACATTATCGATCCCTGCAATATAATTTTCTAGTTGCTTTAATTATGTTTAATCAGTAGCTGCTCAGAATTTGTGACCCAGAAAACAATTGATTAGCAGCTTATCACCTAGTATGTTTGATTATTATTATTATTATTATTATTATTATTATTTATTTGTCGACGTTACCGTCCGGAAAAATTAATATTTATACATGTTTTACTTTTTACATTGATTAGTGATACATTTCATATCACTATGGGTGACGTAGAATCAAGCTTCTAATCTTCAAATCTAGGTTTCGATTAAATTCAGGCTCTCGTTTCAATCTTCTGTGGGCGTGACGTGATACATTTCAGGTCCGTTCTGACAATATTCCATTATAAGGTAATCTTTTAGCTCTCGTTCCTATTTCTCCCACTACACTTCAAGTTCCTGATCCGTTCCTTAATCCAACGTTGCCCAAAATGCCCAATTATGGCTTGATCTCGTACATTAAGCAGTCGAAGTATCTAAACTTCTGAAAAAGAACAAATTTGGAAATGGCTGGATTCGAACCGACGACCTTCGAGTTACCATACCAAATTTGAGCCAAGCGCCTTACCTATTCGACCAGCGAGGCACTTAACTGCTTCAGATCAGAGTGGAATCAAGAGCACTAATCTTTATAATAGAATCAAGACTCAACGACTAAGTGATTCTTTTTTGAGTACATATCTTTGGTTCGCACCAGAAACTCACTATCATTCCACAGAGCATTGACACAATCACAAATTCAGACTACAATTCACTAATTGAATTAATTCCTTAAAAACACTGTCTATAGTTTGAGATGAAACTATAGCAAAAAAAAGTTTATAAACAAATTTATGTTCACACGTGAGGGTCATAAAGTCAGATATTACCGGTATTACTTCATATAATGCAATAAACAGCTGAGTCACAAAACATTTTGATAACCTTTGAGAATCTTATGAATATAAATTATAAACAAAGTCAACTGACTGATAATGAAGCTGATCATCTGAAAATATTAAAAATAAATCAGTAATTCGCCAAACTTTGAGTAAGAAAGCAGCTTGAAAAGGAATAATAATGGAAAAAGTAGTATTAGCATATTCGGGTGGCCTTGACACTAGTTGCATTCTTAAATGGCTTCTTGAGAAAGGCTACGAAGTCATTTGTTTCATGGCTGATGTCGGTCAAGATGAAGATTTTCAAGCTGCCAGAGATAAAGTAAGAGAAACAAGCTATAATTATGAGACATTAAAAAAACTATTTTGTTGTCTATTTAGGCATTAAAAATTGGAGCAAGTGAAGTTGTGGTTAAGGACGTTAAAGCTCATTTTGTTGAGCATTTTGTATGGCCAGCAATAAGAATGGGAGTGATTTACGAAAAGCGATACTTGCTGGGAACATCTCTAGCACGACCTTGCATCACTTTGGCACTTATGGGTAATGACATAAATTTCAAGTGCCTTAATTGCGCTATTCATTTTTTCTCGCGTTTTAGAAACCGTAAAAGAATTTAATTGCCAATTTATTTCCCACGGAGCTACGGGTAAAGGAAATGATCAGATTCGTTTTGAGTTATCAGCTTATGCTCTTAATCCAGAAATAAAGGTTGATACTGATAACATTCTATTTTTGTTGACTAAAATAATCACATCTATGTATATTAAAACTTCAAGGTTTTAGCCCCTTGGCGTATTCCCGAATTTTGTGAACGTTTTGAAGGTCGAAATGACTTGTTGGAATATGCAAAAAACAATAATATACCAGTTGCTGCTACAACAAAAGCTCCATGGTCGATGGATGCAAACATCATGCATATTAGCTATGAATCTGGAATATTGGAAGATCCATCACAACCAGGACCTGAAGATTTATTCCAAATGACAAAGAGTCCACAAAATGCACCAAATAACCAGTACGTTGTAATAATCCAATTAATGGAACTTCTTATGAGCAACCATTACACATTTTGCAATTCTTAAATCAAATTGGAGGTATTGCTGCAAATCAATTAAATCAATAAAATATTATTGACTAATTTTTTTTCATTAGGTGAACACGGAATTGGACGAATTGATATTGTGGAGAATCGATTCGTTGGATTAAAATCACGTGGAATTTATGAAACACCAGGCTGTAAAATTCTATATGAAGCGCATCAAGATCTTGAAGTTTATTGTCTCGATCGAGAAATCTTACGTGTTAAAAGCTTATTGTCTGAAAGAATGGCTGAATATGTGTACAATGGCTTTTGGTTCTCGCCTGAAGCTGAATATGTGAAAAAGTGCTTAGATGAATCACAAAAATCTGTCAATGGGCGCGTTACAGTTGAGCTATTCAAAGGAAATGTCTTAGTTGTTGCTCGCGAATCACTAAGCTCATTGTACAATCAAGAACTTGTGTCAATGAATGCACATGGACAGTTGAATTACACGGCAGCAACAGGCTTCATAGAAATCAATTCAATTCGTTTAAAGGAACATTACCGTGCTCATGGCGTTACAGCAAATAATGTGAAGGGATTAAGTCGTAATTTTTCACGCGTTAAATTGAATTAAGACTTACATGGGTGCAACATGCAATCATCTGCAATTAAGAACAAATTTCAAAACACAAATCATTTTTAATGGCAGCACTAGATGATGAAAGGAGAGGATTAGTGACTTGTGAGTGGGAATAACATCTTCATCATTCATGTCTTATGTTCCTCAAAAAGATAATTAATGAATGATGTAGAAAAATGTTAAGCATAACGAATAAAGACGTCTATTAAATCTTCTTTTTTCCATCTATGCTTAAAGAAGTGTATGTATCTAAAGTACAGACAACGAATGCCTTCTGAGTCTGCAATTAATGCCATTCTCTGTAATGAAATTCATATTTTCTTAATTCTTTTGCATCGACGTTATAGAAATACATTCGCTCTTTTACAGGAGTTATGGATAGCAAGTGATTTGGTACATTTAGTGATCAATCGATTCCCTTTCAAAAATTCTATAATATATGGAAACATATTGACAGCAGGTAATCATACATGAAGTCAGTCAATAAATTAAAGGTCAGTGACTCAGCTAACATCCAATAGACTCAAAATTACGTTCATCCATAAGAATCGGACTCATTTGTTAAGAAATGGTAGAAGTGAAGAAATTATTTTTTCTAAGTCACACTGCAGCTTTAAAAGCTTGGGTCTAATTGCTTTTAGAAACACGATACTTTTTTCAGAGTTTAATGATATGATAGAGCTGCATTTAATAATAATAATGAATTGTTAACGTTATTTATGAATTGAATTGAAGTGCCTACTTCAGGCATGAATTACAAACAAATTACTCCACTTTGTTATGCTTTAAATTATTAAATATATGCAAAGGATATAAATCACACTCCATGTGGTTCTTGTGACCAAAAAGGGAGTCAGAAACTTGAAACTTGTGATTAATAGAAATAGGACAGCTTAGTGTTATTAGGATCATTAGCTAAAAATACAAATCTAATGGAATTAATTTACATGGATAGGATAGTAATTTTTATTGGAAATCAATGTGCTACAACAATTGACTTCAATGCACGGCAAGGCAAAGAACTCTAACAAATGGTCACAGTCAAGCAGTTAAATGATTGTTTCATGTTGTCTTATGCACGACTCATATACATATTAAGAAATTATTTAATATGAATGAACATAAATTAAAAATTAAAATTCTTTTTGTCACATTAAGAGTCACGTTGACATGAATTTCCATCACATTAGCATTTTATGATGACTTGTCGCTCATTTTTTACACGCTTTTTATTGAGTTGCTCTGTTGGTTTCTTTGTCACGTTCAAATCTTGCAATCGATTTTTCGACCACTTCTATTGCTCCAATCGAGCTCAAATTTTTATTACATACGTATTCCCGGTGACAATACAATATTTTCACACTTTGGAACCACAAAAAGGCTTAATTATAGTACAATTTAAGTAAAACTTTTTTATATGGGAAAAAAATCCAATGTCAATGATATAAAATTTTGATTTGTTTAAAATATTATACTTGAAATGCTCAAAAGTCATTTATATGATTTATTATAGTTTAATTAATATTACTAATTATTAATTATACTATAAATTTGAGCAGCTAAAGATATTCTGGTAGGACAAAAAAAATTGACAAGTAATTTTTTCATGAATTTTCGTAAGTGAAAATTTAAATTTTCAAAAAAACCGTTAAGCACAAATCCGTTACGAATTAATACAAAATAACTATTAATATGCGATGTACATTTAGCACACATAGTTTGAGCATAAATTTATGCTGTTTTTAATGTATTGCATTATTTATAACACTTCACCAATTTAATTAAATTGACTTTTCTTTTTATTAACGGCTTGACGTATTTTTGCATAACATATAAATGATATTCATTGAATTTAAATTTGAAAAATCCGTTATAAATACGTTACATATGTGAGATGCATCTTTATGCTAAGAATCCACACGTTATGAAGTAGAAATGGTACAGATAAACACAAAATCTTTACGATTGATTTTTAATGTACATTACTAATGAATGCTTTGAAAAAATTAAATTTTATAAACTTACTTACTTCGCTGGCCGTACAGATCAATTGTGATCCATGGCCTCCCTTAGATGGCGCCTGAAGCTGACTCTGTCGCTGGCTTCCGTTTGCCAATTAACCATACCAAATGCAATACTGTCTCTGTCAACAGCTTCTTTCCAAGAGTTCTTGGAAATTTTATAAAACGAATGAAAAATTTTGAAAACTGGTAATTTATAAACAGTTGAACGTAACGGAGTGCAACGAAGTGGAGTTCAACACACCTGTAACCTATGAACCTACTGTAATCTATAAACAGTTGAACGTAACGAAGTGCAACGAAGTGGAGTTCAACACACCTGTAACCTATAAACCTACTGTAATCTATAAACAGTTGAACGTAACGAAGTGCAACGAAGTGGAGTTCAACACACCTGTAACCTATAAACCTACTGTAATCTATAAACAGTTGAACGTAACGAAGTGCAACGAAGTGGAGTTCAACACACCTGTAACCTTTAAACCTACTGTAATCTATAAACAGTTGAACGTAACGAAGTGCAACGAAGTGGAGTTCAACACACCTGTAACCTATAAACCTACTGTAATCTATAAACAGTTGAACGTAACGAAGTGCAACGAAGTGGAGTTCAACACACCTGTAACCTTTAAACCTACTGTAATCTATAAACAGTTGAACGTAACGAAGTGCAACGAAGTGGAGTTCAACACACCTGTAACCTATGAACCTACTGTAATCTATAAACAGTTGAACGTAACGAAGTGCAACGAAGTGAAGTTCAACACACCTGTAACCTATGAACCTACTGTAATCTATAAACAGTTGAACGTAACGAAGTGCAACGAAGTGAAGTTCAACACACCTGTAACCTATGAACCTACTGTAATCTATAAACAGTTGAACGTAACGAAGTGCAACGAAGTGAAGTTCAACACACCTGTAACCTATGAACCTACTGTAATCTATAAACAGTTGAACGTAACAAAGTGCAACGAAGTGAAGTTCAACACACCTGTAACCTATGAACCTACTGTAATCTATAAACAGTTGAACGTAACGAAGTGCAACGAAGTGGAGTTCAACACACCTGTAACCTATGAACCTACTGTAATCTATAAACAGTTGAACGTAACGAAGTGCAACGAAGTGAAGTTCAACACACCTGTAACCTATGAACCTACTGTAATCTATAAACAGTTGAACGTAACGAAGTGAAACGAAGTGGAGTTCAACACACCTGTAACCTATAAACCTACTGTAATCTATAAACAGTTGAACGTAACGAAGTGCAACGAAGTGGAGTTCAACACACCTGTAACCTATGAACCTACTGTAATCTATAAACAGTTGAACGTAACGAAGTGCAACGAAGTGGAGTTGAATTTGAATTGTTGTGGTCGAAATTCGATTAAAAGATTGAGACTAAAAAGTAGCAAATAAAAAAACGTTAAAAAAAACTTTTTAAAAAACACGCTTTTTTCCCGAAGACTAAAAAACAAATAACATTTTTTTTCTTGAAGTTAAGTCTGTTGTTAAGAATAAAAACCAAGCGACCAAAAAAGGAGCAAATAAAAAAATGTTAAAAAAACTTTTTAAAAAACACGCTTTTATCAAAAAGATTAAAAACCAAAAACTTGAAAATAAAATAAGATCACACTTTTAGCGAATCAGGATTTTAAAAGTTTTCTTGTGACATCTAGAAATGTAACATAATTTTTTTCAAAATATTGTGATTAAGTCCAAGAACACAATGACTCGAAAAGCGTGGGGCTTTGAGACTTGACGTTCTCTTACTTAAGAATATAGCTGAACTAAGAAATTCATCCTTAAATTACGCCCCACGCTTTTAGAGTCATTGTGTTCTTGGACTTAATCACAATATTTTGAAAAAAATTATGTTACATTTCTAGATGTCACAAGAAAACTTTTAAAATCCTGATTCGCTAAAAGTGTGATCTTATTTTATTTTCAAGTTTTTGGTTTTTAATCTTTTTGATAAAAGCGTGTTTTTTAAAAAGTTTTTTTTAACATTTTTTTTTTATTCATACAGATCGTGATGTACAATAGGAGTAGTTGAGAAGTTTAATTTATGAGAATTTATGTCACAACCCATGATTGAATTGAATTCTGATTTTATTCGGACTTAGTTTACCGCTGTGTCTTTTAATTTGAAGAGGTAAGGAAGGGATCCATCAAGATAGGCTGTAGAGACACAAAAATTGAAATATTTTGTCAAAAGCATGAGGTTAAACACTGAAATTAAATCTTAAATGGAATTTAAACAAATTACATCCAGTGCAGCACAGCACATTGTTAAATCTAACCTACAAATCACTAAATTTGTCGCCTCCACATCAGTCATGTATCTCATTCATCTTGATTCTTCATTCTCGCCTTGAATTTAAAGTCCGCATCCATACATCCTATGTGTCAACCAATTTTTCACGCTACATGATCATAGCTATAGATTTAATGGAAGAAAACGAAACCAGTGCCAACAATGAAGAATTCAATTAACAACAATTACGTTGTTTATTATATTAATTTTAACGGCTTCAACTATTAATTTTCTTATAAGTATTTAGCAATAAAGAAGTAACTACAGTAGCGAGCAAATCTACTGAAAATTACATTATTGCATTAATGATTGAATTCGATACTCTTTTTTTGCAATGCGTTACCGAATTTCTTTGTTGTTTAACTTCAACAAGAGATTTATGTGATTTACAGATTTTTTTATTAATTATTATACTGTTATGTGAGGAAGTGATGGAAATCAAAAAATGCCGATCATAAATATAAATCCATAAATAATGGAATTAAAAAAATCTATTAAATTTGAGATTTGAATAATGAGTCTGCTCCAAATTTTATAAGAGCTTTTTCAATTTTATATAACATTAAATTCAATATTCGTTCGACGATCGGGGTTTAAAGAGACAGTCAGAGATGGCGAGTCTTAGTATGATTCGACAAAAATTAAGGAACTAG